ATTACGTCGATTTCATTGTCGTTCATAAATTGTGCTAGCTCAAGTTTGTGCCGTGAAACACCGTTGGCATTCCACAGTGCAATGCGCAGGGGAGCCATTGATTATTTTGATAAAGTGTTTTGGAGCATCTGAATCAAAATATTCTGATTTGTCAACATACTTTGCATGGTCGTCCGCATAAATGAAATGAATTCATCCATACTTTGTTGCAAACTGAGCATCATCGTTTCCATTCTATTTTCTGTGTGCTCTGCTAGTTGGTGAGAGACTGTAGGTGGTGGTTGGACATTGTAAGCGGGGCTCGCATGACCCGATTTTAAAACGCTTGCAAAACTTACGTTTTTATTTGTAGTGGAACTGCCGAGTGATGATCGGGCTGCTGACGAAAAGAAGACTTCAGGTGTGAGTTTAGAGGGTATCAATGGTGTGTGGTGAGATCGTGCTGTTGAGACTCTTTGGTTTATCCGACTTTTTAACTCCTTGTATACTGGACAGCCTCTGTAGTTTGCTGTGTGGTCTCCTCCGCAGTTACTACACTTTTTGCTATTTGGCTCATTTTTTAATTCACACTTAGCTGAGGTATGCAGCCCTCCGCAGGCGACGCATACAGAGCGGAGTGTGCAGTAAGATTTGGTGTGTCCGTATTCCTGGCAATTTGCGCACTGGACTGGGCCATTGCGTTTATGCGGCTCTTCAACCGTGATTCTGCGATGCATTAGAAACTGGAGATTGTAGATGGGATGGACTTCATTTTTCTTAAGCGCCTTAGAGTCAGGTGCAAGTTCCACTTTAAAGAGAGGTTGCGGTTGTTTATTTCGGTTACGTATGTTTATAACTGTTTTTACGTTAAAACCTTTGTCTTTTAGTGCCTGCTCGACTTCAGCAGTGCTTACGTCTGGTTCTATTCCTTTTATAACAACTTGTTGACCTTTACTACTTTTTAGCTGGTAGGTGTAGTAGTTCTTTTTCTTGGCATCTAGGAGCTCCGTCAGTTTTTTAAAGCTTTCTTCGCTTTTGACTTGGACCTTTGTTTCATGTATTTCTCCTTTAGTCAAGGGGATTACGTGGAAGCTATCTTTACCAATCAGATCGATTATTATATTAACGAGGTTGTTGGAGTTTTTCTCTCGAATGTAAAGCGGAGGCGGCCTCGGTTTCTTTTTGTCCGTATCCAAAAGTGTAGAAGCGATTTCATCGGACGTGTCAGCCAAAAGTTGAAATCTATTTGCAGTATTAGAGTTTTGCACGGTTCCTTGGCTTGGGAAAGCCCTATTGATTTTTGCGGCGTTGCCCATTTTCGTGCCCTGTGGGCTTAGTTTTCTTTTAATGTTTATGTAGCGATCCATGCCAGTCTGTATGGACGGACCTTGCTTTTTAGTTGAAGCTTCTGACGGTGCTGCGCTAGCTGCAGTTGATAAATTCGCTGAGACAGCAGGTAAAACGCTCGACTGTATTGGGCATGCCGACGAAACTGATGTTGTTGTTGTCATTGCATTTACAGTTGCTAATGACGTTACTGTGCTGGTAACCGTGGCCAGGCATGTGGGCAGTTGGGGTGAGGCAGGGCCAGGAAGAGGGGAAATGCATTTGTCGCTTACCCCGCTTTGCGTCGTCGCTGACATATATGGAGAAAGAGAGCGCGCCCTTTCGTTAAGAATAGGCTTGAGTTCGTTGGAAGGTGTTGGGGTTAACGATCGCGGTTGATCGACTACTGCAGAAGCTTTTGTTGTTGGTGCTTCTGCTGTCGATACGAAAGAAAAGTATGCATTGCTCTTTTGCAGAGAGAGCCGGCGCTCCGCAGAGAGAGAGATTCTCCGTAATATCTTTGGTCCGATTTGCGTTGGCGATGCCTATCGCATTAGATGGAACCACGAGCTGTATGAGCTGTACGGGGATGTTGATGTAGTCAGTCGAGTTAAAATTCACAGACTCCGCTGGCTGGGTCACATCGCCCGTATGGAAGAAGACGCTCCGGCCCGTAAGGTATTTGATGCGGTAATTGTCGGGAAACGGAGGAGAGGACGACCCCGGATGCGTTGGCAAGACCAGGTGATGGAAGCCCTGTCTACATCCGGTGCTGCCAACTGGAGAAGGCGCGCCCAGGACAGGGATGCGTGGAGGCAAATCGTGCAACAGGCTGTGACCCGTCAAGGGTTGTGATGGCCAATTATTATTATTATCTCGTTGGGAACGCGTCATCGAACAAAACGGGGCATATTTGACTTGAATCGCATTATTGTAACCAATTTTATGAACAATTGAAAATTCAATAAAAATACCGCAAGACTTTTTTGACAACCTAATATATAGAATTAATGCAAATTAATTGATAACGTCATTGTTTTTCATCACACGACTATGATTTTTTAGTATCAAGTTTTTTAACTAGCCTTGATTTATAAAAAAAAATTCTTGCTTTGGAGCTCTGTATTTGACTTACGCTAAACATGTCTGGCTTCATCAGAGCCGGAAATATTACTTTTGGACTCGTCTCCAAAAAGCTAAATTCTTGCACAAGTGGTCGTTGGCAAATTTAAGGCGAAGAATCTAAATACTACATTTAAGGGGTTATCCTACCCCTGACCTTTTAAAAAATTCATTTTTTTCAAAAATTTTTATATAATAGTAAAAAGTGTAAGGAATGTTGTCCGAAAATTTCAAGTCGATCGGAGGAAAACTGTAGAAATGGGGGAAATTTAAAGCGCCGTTTTTCCAGAGGGTTTCAAAGGGTTTGAAACTTTGAACGCGTTTTTCTCGAAACGACTTTTTCAAAGTCGGTAGTCAAATTTTCTCTAAAACTATTGCACCGATCGACTTCTCCTTTTGCACACTTCTTTTAGACATGTTTTTCTCGTATTTGAACGAAGGATTTTTTGTTTGGTCAAATAGAACTTATTTTATAGGACGAAGTATGGTCAAAATGTATGCAAACAACGTAATTTTTTACAAAAAACGTTGTAAAAAATTTAATTTTTAATTTTTAAAAAAATCCTTCGTTCAAACACGAGTCAGACACATACACTTAAAGAAAAATTTTGAATTTTTGATTTCAGATGAAAATTGGCGGAGAAAATTTGACTACCGCCAGGGCACTATTTTTGATGGGGCCAACTTTCAGGCATTCTCACTCGCTCATTTTTTAATATTTTCTTTTCAAAAATTTACAGATTATAGTTGAAGCATTATACAATCGACTCTCGTTAATTCAAACCTGCGATAATTCGAACCTCTCTATAATTCAAAGTTATCACGAGGTCCCTACGAAATCTCTTTATATTTCGAACTAAATCAATACATTTTCATACACTTGGTAATTCGAACGAAAAAATCATTGATATTTAACAAAACCACGCGTTAATTCGAACTCATCAGCGTCTAACACTCGACAATTCAAAGTTGCAGAGAAAAAAATTTTGCGACAAGTTCAAACTTGCCTTTGTTTTTGTTTTGATTATGTAGTTTTTGACGCACACACTTCTTACGAATTGGTTTGTGTAGTTATTCAGTTACTGTTACTCTTTCGTTGGTATGCATATTAAAAGTTAGTGTTAGCTATGAGCCCTAGAAAGTATAAAGAACCTTTGGCAGAGGTTTCAGTTAAGGAAGCAAGATCCTCATTTGATACCTTACAAAGCTTATGTCTACAAAACGAAAGTGATGAAAAAGTATTTCATGCACTTTTTCTCTTAAAAAAAGTTATTGAGCAGTGTGAGCAGCAGAATTGTGATTTAAAGCAAGCCAGTACAACAAAGTTCTTTCGAAAATTTCGAACCATTTGATATTTCAAACACTCGATAATTCGAAATATTTCAAGAGTCCCTCGAGTTTCGAAATAACGAGAGTCGACTGTATATTCATATTCAATAAACAAAAATTGTAAGAATATCCCAGGAGCTTTGAAAAAAATTCACGAAAATAGGCCTTTTTTTGGGCCTCCAGGGTAGGATAACCCCTTAAGCATGGCTGCGGTAGTTTCACGGTATTGGCCTGTATGTCGGCAGCTGGCGTCGGAAGACTGCACTTTATAAAGTCTACGATTTACAAGGTTCACTATCTTAAAATTTTGAAAGCCAATTTTTTTCAAAATGCGGTAGAAATTGGAAATCGGGAGGATTTTCGATTCTACCAAGACAATGACCCAAATAACAAATCGGATATTGTACAGTCTTGGCTGATTTGGAATTGCCTACATGTGATGGAACCCCCTGCCTAGGCACCAGACATAAACATAATACAAAAATTTCTGGGCAATTCCGTACCAAAATATCAGAAAAAGCCAGTTTTTTAACAAATCTGCTCTAAAAAACGCTATGGTGACAGAGTGAGGAAAAATAGTCCTATTGGGGAGAAAAAAGCTGGTGGAATCGATGTCAAAACGGCTTAAAATGTTCATTGGCAACAATGGTGGCCAAAACAAGTATTAATTTTTCTTGGTTTTTTCATTTAAGTCAGTTAAAAAATATATTTTCTCAGCTGGTTGAAATAAGCTTATGCAGTATTTTAAGCAGCATTTTTGTTTAAAAATTTTTATTAAATATTTAAAAAATGCTAAAAAAAAAAAAAATGTTTTCAAAAATTTTAAGTTAAAGGCTCACACTACAAATCCCCATTTGAATTTTTATATTAGCTCTCAAGGTTTGCTAGATATACATATGGCTTTAAAGTTTTTTTTGCGGTGCTGGTTGAAATAAGCTGCGAGCCACTGTACATATGTAAATGTGAAAAGGTAAACCAACCTCTTACTGACAGCAGAATATAACAAAAATTTTTAACAGTAAAATCTTAAATTGTTGTTATTATCGGTTCCATTTCTTTTCTAATTTTAAGGAAATTTGGGCACAGATTTTTTAGTTGAGTGATAAGTCATAAACATTTTCTTAAGGTTGTTTGAAATCCACCAAGTTTAATAAAACGTTTTGCACATGAAAATACATATGTACAAATACGTATGTAACATTGTGATGATATACATTAATATCAATATTGGAGTTCATTCTTACCAACAGATGAAAGGGACTGATTCTCATTTTGTTTTCCAACTAAAACGCTTCCCGTTGCATTCGGTGGTTGTAATAATGATTGGGCAGCGGATTGCAGCTGCGATAATTGTTGGGTTTGACCTTGAGATTGCATATTTGGTAAATAGTTGTCAAACTACATTTACATCCAACGATGACAAAAAGTCTAAAATCAATAAGCTTCCCTTAGCAAGAGAGATTTTTAAGTTATTTACATGATTAGACCTTTTGCTTTTATACGAAATCTAAAATAAAAATATATATTAATAAAATGTAATATAAACAACAAAACCTTAAATGTACTTTTATAAAGCATTCACTCAGCTGTTTTGATTAGGGTAATATCAATTTTATTTCAAACTAAGTCTTACCATTTTTTTCATTCAAAAAATCAACATTGTGGAATAACAAATCGAAACCTATTTACTTATACCCTATTCGTACCGAGACATATCACCGTTTATGTGGTATGAGTATTAATGCACTCTAACATATCTTTACATTATACAGGATTTCAACAAAACACCTTTTGCCATTTAGATGGCAGACAAGTAAGGCAAAAAAACAATTTTTTGTTGATATTAGTAAATCTAATATATATGATTAGCCACGGACTGCACGTTATCAGGATGTTTTCTTGTAAATATATGTCTTAAATACAAATATTATATTTTTTTGCGGTTTTATAGCTACATTTGTCTCAGTTTCAAAGCTATTTCGCTAAAAACTTAGCAAAACACTATTAGAAATTTCGGGTTGCACTTTTGTGTGATACTAACAACATTTTACATTAAAGAAATATTTTATAAATTATTCACATCAAGCAAGCAATTTCTTAAAAATCTTTGACATAGAAACATAATAACAAACTGTAATTTGAAGAATACATTTGAGATGAGGGTTAGATCAAAAAGTGGATAATAAAGCCACAAAATGCAAATGATTTTATCTCGCGTCCACTTACAGTGGTGGCCGTAAGTATTTTGTCAAAATAAAAGTGAAATATACTCGAAACCTGAACTTGCTTCTTTTAACTTTTGGTATCAATGGAAAGGTAATTCAAATGCCGTTTGAATGATACCATACTTTTCTCAACTCATTCGATATTTATTGAAAAGGGCAATTAAAAAAAAAGTAAAAAAAAAACTTTTTCCCTCGGCTTCAAAACTAAAATTTTTGGATGCAAAAAGTTTCTTTAATCAAAAATAATAGGAACTGCAAAAAGAATTTTTCAAAAATAATTTTTCTTTTATTTTTTATGATTTTTTGAAGGTGACAATGTCGGAAAAAATTTGTATGGAAAAGAGAAAAATATGGCTGAAATACGTATTTCTAGTCTAGACAAAATACTTATGGCCACCATTGTACGTAAAACATTGTGATTGTATATTTACAAAGCAAAAAAACCAGGGACCGTAAATAATGATTATTGTCGCTATTTTCAAATGAATAAATCAATCACTTCCAATCAACATAGAACAAGCATGACTAGCACGTTTTTATCCTTTAAGGATACACTATGAATATCCTTGATGATTTTTAATTTTTATATTTATTCTTCTATTGTTAAACATTATGTTTGAGCAAAAAAAATAAAAATCACAAATAATCATTATTTTTGAGCAAAAAAAATAAAACTCAAAAATAATGATTTTTTGTGATTTTTATTTTTTTCGCTCAAAATAAAACTCACCAAGCAACAACTTTTGATCCTTTAAGGATATTGCCAATATTGTCCTATGTCCTTATAAAGGGACCCTAGACCAACAATTGACAACAACCGCTTATTAATTTTATTTATTGACATATTTTAATTTGATAATAAAAAGAAGTTCTGATAAAAGTGATGTGTCGGCCGAATACCGAATACCAAAAAAGTGGCCAAATAGGCCGAATACCGAATACTAGCCGAATATTCGTGAAATTTCTAGTTTCGATATGGGTCGCAAGCAAAATTTTGTTCTCCGCAATTTTTTTAATTTCCACGCGGGAAATAGTGTTTCGGAGTGCAAAATTTGCAAATTTACGTTAGTTGTCGAGTACGTGTCCAACATGAAGCGGCATATGCAAACTAAGCATAAATCGGAGAATGAAGCTGAGATAGATAACATTCAGGAAGACGAAGCTGCCGAAAAAAAAATTAAATTTGCAATAGCAATGGGCAAAAATGAAGTGCAGGATGCGTGCATCGATTTGGTGACGCAGGAAAAGCTTCCGTTGGCTATTTTTGATTCGGAGTGCTTCAAAACGCTATCGTCTCAAATATTTTCTGCACTGGATATGCCGGCTGTTTCGTCCAGAAACATAATGGGCATGGTGGAGGAAAAATATAATGACATTAAAAACAGCATAATGGCCAGTCTCAAGGACAAAATGCTTAGCTTAAAAATGGACACAGCCACCCGGTGTAATCGTGGGATCTTGTGAGTAAATGTGCAATATATTCACGACACTGGTATTGCGATAAGGACCTTGGGCCTTATTGAGTTAAAGATGTCGCGCTGATATAATGCAGTACTGGAGTGAGAAGGAATTTCAGTACCCGAATTTATATCAGCTTGCTAAGGTGGTGCTTGCGGTTCCAGCTACCCAAGTTAGCGTAGAGCGTGCCTTTTCTGCGCTTAAAATAATGCTAACCGACCAAAGGTGCAACTTGTCGAGCGAGTCGCTGTCAAAATTGTTATTCCTAAAATTAAATAAAAATACATAAATGCATAATAAATTGAAAATTAATGTACCTAATTGTTCTACTGGTTGATCATTATGATGATTATCATTATCATTATCATTATTATCATTGTTTTGGTAATTGTGTATATCTGCTGCTGCTGCTCTGTATGTAACAGTTGACCTTATATTAAATAATTGCAACAAACACAGCTAAAATACATTTTATTGTTGTTGTTGTCGTTGTCAATTGTTGCTCTAGGGTCCCTTTATAAGGACATAGGACAATATTGGTAATATCCTTAAAGGATCAAAAGTTGTTGCTTGTTGAGTTTTATTTTGAGCGAAAAAAATAAAAATCAAAAATAATCATTATTTTTGAGTTTTATTTTTTTTGCTCAAGCTTAATGATTATTTGTGATTTTTATTTTTTTGCTCAAAAATAATTATTAGTCTTGATTTAAAAAATTAAAAATCGATAATTAATCATTACAAAGTAATTTTTAAAATATTACTTATAATGATTACGGTCCCTGAAAAAAACACACTCTTAAAAATAACCTACTGGAATTTTCAGAAAAAATAAGTGTACCTATTATTTAGATCCTTGTTAAAATTTTTAATCTATGTAATTAAGTCTCGGAATAGTAGATCTTTTGAATAAGTTTCTCAGAATACAATTTCACAACATTGTGAATGTGACTCCGCTTAAATCTATATACATATCGACGCATTTCCGCGAATGTATCGTATGTAGAAAAATTAAATTTTACAGGAGAAGCTTTTTCTTTTTTTTGTATTTCGGTATTTTTGTGCGATTGCAGTATTTCCATGCAAATTTGAATGGACAAACGATAATTTCGCGCGCCCATTGTAACATACGATAAAATTAAAACTTAATTTTTATCGGAACTATAGGGCTTTCAGTTATAATATTTCACAGGGAAGTGGGACATTACGTGCCTAACAATTTTGCATTAAAATCTCAATTTCAAAAAAAGCGACATACGATACAGTCGCGGAAATGCGTTGATATATGTGACGAGGATTCGTTCTCCGAGTCTTCAACTGGTCTTTCGGCGAAACGTTTTTCGGCTCGTGGCATGATAATGGAATTTTACAACCAGACCAGACTGAATTTTACAACTCCAGTCGGTCCCTTTTCAATTCCTCTTCACCCACCGATACACACGCACAGTGTGGTGACCCAGCGGGAAAAAAGATGTGGAAAATATGCTATTTTTCAGTGGTTTCCCAGCGGGAAAAAAGATGTGGAAAATATGCTATTTTTCAGTGGTTTCTTCATACAAGCGGAAGGGCAAAAACCTCCTTCACCCCTTACATTTTTGCCGTCTCTCCTTTCAAAATACACGGGGGTGACACACAAAAGGAAGGGGTAAAGGAGGTTTGCAGGCCAAAAACCTGTGGATGCTCTGGCTGCTGAAAGCAGGGCAAAATCCAGTGGACCTACGGCTGCTGATTGCAGGGCAAAATCCACTGGACCTACGGCTGCTGAATGCAGGCCAAAATCCACTGGGTTTTGGCCTTCCCGCTTTACAGAATTTCCACATGTAAAAAACAATACTTTTTAATTTGGTATATGCATTTATTAATCTATATACAGTCCAAGGACCTTTGTCATAAGTATTTTTGTATATTATATTTTTTGCCTCAGTGAACGATGAACGCAGATCATCTTGATATTGGCGAAGACTGTAATTGTCGTTTCTGAGTGACTCTGAAAATAAAAACCATAATATATTAATATATAACATATTAATACAAATCAAAAAATATTTAAAAAGTATTGGGAAAAATAGAGAAATTTAGAAAAACAAGTATACTTACCATACAGTACGTTGGAGAAATTATTATATGAATTTAAAAAAAATGTAATTACATAGTAACAAGCATGGCTATTGAAATTTATTAAAAATGTAGTGAGTACTTACAAATGCTTCTGGATTGGCTTCGGCATCGGAGTCCAAGTGGCCGAGTTCTTCAAATGACGAAATCGAAATGTCCGCTTGCGCACGTTCAGATTTGCCATTAATATTGACATATGGGCCAGAATCTTTGATGTCGAATCTATTACAAATTTTATGAAAAGAAACATTTGTTTGTTCTTGTGAAATTGAAAATAAATTTAAATAAAAAACTTACTTACTTACTTGACAACCGCCTCTGGCGGCTAATATTTAGTTTTCGTAAAAATGCTTATGTTCACCATATCCGTAACGCTGAAATAAGGATATACAAACAAAAATATTTATGTTATAACTTACCTTTATCTTGTTTTTTAGAATAAACTTAACTTTTTTTCACTTTTGACACATTTTGCACGACATTTTATACTGATGTGACCGTGCATATTCTGAAGAAAGACAACAATTAGTCACAACTTCGTTGTAACTTAAGGTCATATTCAGAAACCCACCCCATTTAGCGGTCCGAAATTTTCTACTCCTACCCCTACGCCTGCTAAAAGAAGCAGGTTTTCAAGTACTCTAAAAACCTCCTTCCCACTTTCCCGCTGGGGAGCTATGACGAACACTATCTGTATCACTCATGCCCATGACCAAACTGCGTTGACAGAATTATATATCTGCCTCGCACGAAAGAATGGAGAAAAAGTAAGAAATAAAACAAGTGTGTACCAACAAATAATCGTTAATATTTGAACATTTAAATAATCTGCGAAA